AGCTGCTGCAGCAGGGGAAGCTACAGGGGCAGCCGCTGCAGCAGGACTGGGAACAGCAGCTGCCGCAGGAGTAGGAGCAGCAGCAGCTACCGCAGGAAGAGCAGCAGCAGCTGCTGCAGCAGGAATAGGGGCAGCCGCTTCAGCAGGAAGGGAAACAGCAAGTGCAGCAGGAAGGGGAGCAGCAGCATCCACTGCAGCAGGAAGGGGAGCACCAGCATCCACTGCAGCAGCAAGAGGAGCAGCAGCATCCACTGCAGCAGGAAGAGGAGGAGAAGCTGCTGCTCCTGCAGGAGCAGCGGCAGCAGCAGCTGCTGCTGCTGCTGATGCAGGGATCGGTGCTGCGCTCATGTATGCTGAGGGCTCCGCGCCTCCAGTTGCCTCCTCCATCTCGCTGCTGCTGCTGCTGCTGCTGCTGCTGCTCATTTGAGGGTCTTCCAAGTAGCGGGTCTCTTGAGTGGAGAACTCATTTGTTTTGTTTTCATTTAATTCCGAAAGGTCAAATGTGTCATCCAAAGGAAGAACAGAATCTGCAGCAGCTTCTTCCCACTCTTCACCCCAGCTCAGAGGCGGCTCTGCTGCTGCTGCTTCTAGTTCGGCTGCAGCTGCTGCTGCTGCCATTTCTGCTGCTGCCATTTCTGCTGCTGCCATTTTTGCTGCAGCTGCTCCCGCCGCTGTTTCCGCCTCCGCTGCTGTGATCTCTGCTGCTGCTGCTTCCAATTCTGCTGCTGCTGCTGCTGCTGCTTCTGAGCTAAGCGCAGAGGCAAAGAAGACGAGAAGAACGAACCGAAGGAACCTGAGGGCCGCCTGTTCGGCGGTCCCGGGTAGTTCTTTGAATTTCATCTTTTGTCGGAAATAACAAACGAAAATGAAACAAAATATGCAATAATAATCAAAAATAGGAGAAATTTGATGTTTTTTTTGTTTCAACTTTCTTTTCCGCTCATTTCAACTCGCATTTCACAAGAGTGTTTGCGGAGAAGCTGCGCCTCCCACTGGCGGCGCCTTCAGTGCACTTTGGAGGAGTTGAAGGAAAAGAAAGAAAGGAAAGAAATTAAATCCCTGAAGAAATGCAAAGTGAAATCAATTGGGAGAAAATTCCTGTTTTTTAGCGCAAGACGCAGCTCACTTGCTTTCCCGTGCTGCAGCAGCAGCAGCAGCAGCAGCAGCAGCAGCAGCGCGCGGTGGGTGACCATTGGTGCTGTGAAATGTGAACTGGCAGGAGCTTCTGAAGCGAGCTTCACCTTTTGAAGACTGCATTTAAATTGTTTTCCTTTTTAAATGAAGTCAAAGTGTTTAAAAGAATAAATGCCTTTAATCGGAGCTTTCTTGTTTTCGCTTTCCTCCTCCTTGCGCCAGTCCTCAGCAGCTGCTGAAACGCACGGCGCGGAGAGCGGGGGAAAGCGCGAAAGAAATTGCATTTCATTTATTCGAATTTGTGAAATTCAAAAGTTTAGAAAGTAATTGAAATGAATATTCAAAAATAAATGAAACTTCCCCGACTTAGCCGAGATGATCGCGGCGTTCAAGTTCGGCAAGTCTTGTTGGGTCCTCAGCATCTCAGCTTCCCTCAGCTTCATTTCCCCAATTCGTTCCACTTAAGTGAATTCTTGGAAAGAACTCTTTTGTTTTTAATTTTATTTTTATTTTAATTTCGTTTTTGAAGTTTTAATTTCAAAAAATTCTCCCAAATTGACTCTTCAACTTCTCGCCTCGCTGTTGGCTCCGCCTGCTTGTCAGTTGCGCCGGAGAGTCTTCGAATTTGAATTCGCCAAATTGAAGTTAATTTAATGCTTCAAATAAATTAAATTAATTTAATTAATTTAATTAAATTAATTAAATCAGTTAAATTATTTAATTAATTAAATAAAATTGATTAAATAATAAAATTAATATATTCAATGGGTAAAACAGTTCAAAATAATGGAATTCATGAAATAAGTTAAATAGAAAATAAACGGAATAAACGAAATAAAAGTTGGAATAGAAGATCAACTAATAAATGAAGTGAATTAAATAAATAAAATAACTTAAATGAATGAAATGAATTCAATAAATGAAGTGAATTAAATAAATAAAATAACATAAATAAATGAAATGAACTCAATAAATGAAACAAATTAAGTAAAATAACTTAAATAAATGAAATGAATTAAATAATGAAATGAATTAAATAATGAAATGAATTAAATAAATGAAATGAATCAAATGATTGAAATGGATTAAATAATTGAAATGAATTAATAAATGAAGTGAATTAAATAAATAAAATGAATTAACTAAATAAAGTGAATTAAATAAATTGAATTAAATAATAAAATGAATTAAATAAAAAGAATTAAAGGCTTTTATTTTCGAGTTTTGTTTTATTGAGGAAAAGCAAAAGAACAAAAGGGGCTCTTTCTCCAAAAGATGAAAAAATGAATTTTTATTTTGAATTTAATTTAAAAACTCTTTTCTTTTCTAAATTGCTTTTAGTCATAAAAAAAGATTTAATTATTTTTAAGTTAAACAGATATTCTGCAAACATTATTTATCAAAGAGAATAAAAATGAATCTTTTCCTTTTCTCCAATTCTTTCTCTCCAACTAAAGGTAAATTGAATTGTTTTAAATCTCAAAAAACGAATATTTCTGCAAACAAATTTTATTTTTAAATCTAAAATTTAATTATTTAATTCAATTTTAATTGAAAATAAAAAAGTCTTGAAATACAAAACCGCCATTTTTTGCTTTTGGGCTGCTGTACTATTAAATAAATTTTAATTCATTTCAAAATTTAATTCTTTATTTTCAATTTCTGAAATAAATTATTTTCATTTTAAACGTTGAAAATAAAGAATTAAATTTTGAAATAAATTAAATTAATTTACAAGTTGAAAGTAAAGAATTAAATCTTAAATTAAATTGAATTAAATTGAAAGTTGCAAATTGATTTTATTTTAAAGTTGAAAATAAAGAACTAAACCTCGTATTGATTTAAATTTAATTAATTTAAAAGCACTTTTTGAATCTGAGTTTAATTGAACTTTTTCGAATTGAATTAAATGACCTTAAAAGTTGAAAACAAAGAATTAAAATGAAACTAAGATCAAATTTGAAGAGTTAATTGGATTGAATCGAATTGAATTGAATTAAATTGAATTGAATTAAATTAAGTTAAATCAAAAGTTGAAAATAAAGCCCAAACTGCATTGAATCAACCCAATTCAAAACTTGAAAACAAAAAACTAAATCTCGAATCGAATTAAACTGAATTAAACTGAATTAAATTGAAATAAATTGAAATAAATTGAATTAAATCGAAACAAACTGAATTAAGTTGAAATAAATTGAAATAAATTGAATTAAACTGAATTAAACTGAGTTAAACTGAATTGAATTGAAATAAACTGAATCGAATTGAAATAAATTGAAATAAACTGAATTAAACTGAAATAAACTGAATCAAAATGAATTAAACTGAAATAAACTGAATTGAAATGAATTAAGCTGAGTTAAACTGAAAGAAACTGAAATAAACTGAATAAAAGTAAAAGTTGAAGCAGATTTAATTATTTGGAACTCGAAATGCATTAAAAGTCTTTTCCACTTTTTGCAAAACTGGCGCTGCCGTAAAGAACTGCTGAAGGGCCGCAGCGCCATTTTCTGTTGGCCAAAAAAGTGTCTTTGAGGGCTTTGAACTTGAGGAGTTTTGAAGTTTTTTTGGAACTTTGAAATTCTTTTTTTTGCTCTTTTTCTTCTTCTTTTTCCTCCCCTTTTTCTGTTTCTCCAGCGCCTTCTTTGTCTTCTTTTTCTTTTTCCTTTTCTGCTTTTTTTTCCTTTTCTTTTTCTGTTTTTCCTTCTTTTTCTTTTTCCGCTTTTTCTTCTTTTTCTGTTTTCCCTTCGACAAATTCCAGTGAGGGATTCCAGTGCCACAAAGTCACTTTGGCCTGCCGCGAGAATTGCATTAATTTCTTTTTCTCTATTTCTTTTTATTTCTTTTGTTTATTTCTTATTCTTTATTTCTTTTTATTTCTTTCATTTATTTCTTTGTCCTTTATTCGTTTTATTTATTTATTTATTTTCTTATTTCCTTTTTTTATTTCTTTTTAGTTTATTTATTTTTATTTTTCTGCTTTCAAAACCCACCAACTTGTACAAATAGTCCACACTCGAGCTGCTGCTGCTGCTGCTGCTGCTGCTGCTGTTCTTCATTTGCTTCTTCACAAATTGGGCAACAGCTTCGAAGGAAATTAAATTTTCTTCAGTTAGTCTCAAGGCCTCCTGCAGAAAAATAAAATAAATCAATTTTAGTTAATTCTTCAAATTCAAAAAATGAACAAAAAGAAACAAATTGCAGAAAAAAGACTTGAAATCGACATGTTTTTAATGTTATTTGATATTTAGGAATGAATAAATAACTAAATAAATGAATAAATAAGTAAATAAATAAATTAAAAATATTTAATTTAAAAATATTTGAATTCAAAAGAAAGAAGATTTAAAACTCAATTTCGGGGATACGGAGCCGCTTGGAAAAAAAATTAAAAATAAATTAAAAATGTTTTTAATTTAATTATTAAATTGAAATTCAAATTAATTAAATTGAATTAAAATTCAATTTAAATTGAGGGATTTAAACAAATTCCATTATTTCGATTCAAAGCAATTCAGCCTATTTTGAATCAATTTGAGACAAAACAGTTCAAGTTAATTTAATTTAAATTGACTTTCAAGTAATTAAATTAAATTAAATTTAATTTAATTTAATTTAAATTGAATTTAAAATGGTTATATTAAATCAAATAAAGTTCATCAAATTGGGTTAAATCAAAATGCATCCATTTGATCTATTGAGAATTATTCAGTTTGATTTAATTCAAACAAATTGCAACTGTTCTAATTTAATTTTCTTATTTCAAATAAATTCAATTTTAATTAATTTAATTTAATTGTATTGAAACAGATTGATTTCAATTCAAATCAATTCAATTCAAATCAGTTTAATTAATAAACAAACGTAATCTAATTTGCTTTAAATCAATTAAATCAATTCAAAATAATAATTCATTTTAATTTAATTAAGTTTGGACTCTGATTTAATTTAAAGAAAACAAATTCAACTTCATTCCTTTAAAGTCTCACTCTGATTAAATTGAAATTAACTTCATTCAATTTAATTGAAATTAATTTAATTTAACTTAAATAATTTCAGTTTGAATAAACTCTAATGTGATTAGTTTTAAATCAAATATGTTTGCTCAATTAAATGCATTGAATTTAATTGAAATGAACTCAACGCAGTAAAGACTAAAATAAAACCGACATTATTTGAATAGATTGAAATCAAATTAAAACGAAGGCATTTAATTAATTGGATAACTTGAATCAATTTGAATCATAGTGAAGCTAAATTGAATTAAATTAAATTAAGTTAAATCGAGTTAAATTGAATTAAATTGAATTAAATTGAATCGAATTGAATTGGATTAAATTAAATTAAATTAAATTAAATTAAATTAAATTAAATTAAATTAAATTAAATTAAATTAAACGCAAGAGGATAAAATCAAATTCACTTTTATTTCATTAATTGACTAAACCGGAAGTAAATGAAACAAATTCATCAAGGATTAAATCAAACTCTATTTTATTGAAAAAAATTAAACAAAATGAAACAATGAAATAATTGGAATAAATTGAGTTGAATTGAATCAATCTGAATTAAATTTGAAATAAATTGAATTAAATTTGAAGTAAATTGAATTGAATTGAAACACAGTGAAGCAAATTGAAATAAACTGAAATAGATTGAAATAAATTGAAATAAATTGAAATAAATTGTAATAAACTGAATTAAACATACTTAAATCGAAATAAACTCAAAAGAAGAAACTAAGTTGAATGAATTAATTGAATTAATTGAATTAATTGAATCAAATTGAATCAAATTAAATTAAATTAAATTAAATTAAATTAAATGCAATGAATCGAATGAATTGAATGAATTGAATCAGTTGAATTAATTGAATTAAATGAATCAAATTGAATCAAATTGAATCAACTTGAATCAAATTAAATCAAGTTAAATCAAACTAAATTGAATTGATTGAATCAATTGAATCAATTGAATCAATTGAATCAATTGAATTAATTGAATTAATTGAATCAAATCAAATTAAATTAAATCGAATTAATTGAATCGACGCAACTTGCCCGCATGCAAGAAAAGGCCATTCTGAGGCGAGCCTCTTCAGAGTCTCCAATTGCAGAAAACAAAAAATGCAAATTTAAAATTTGCGAAATCTTTTCGTCTTTTTTTTTGTGAGACTTCGCCAGCAAATTGGCTGCGCCCGCGCAGCAGTCTGCAGAAGAAAGTTTTCAGTTTAGTTTTTTTAGTTTGTTTTATCTTTTTAATTCTTTTGAATTCAAGTTCAAATGCTTTGTTTTAGTTCTTTTAAATTCAAATGCTTTTCTATCTTTTTAATTCTTTTAAATTCAAGTTCAAATGCTTTGTTTTAGTGCTTTTAAATTCAAATGTTTGGTTTTAATTCTTTTGAATTCAAGTTCAAATGCTTTATTTTAAGCACCTGAAATTCAAACTCACAAGATTTATTTCAAACGTTTTGAATTCAACTTCAAACAGTTCCACCAAAGTCCTTAAATGCCATTTTCGATTTTAAATGAATTAAAGTTCAAATTCATATCTTCATCAAGTTTTACTTTTCGAGTTTTGCACTTTCTTTTTTTTGATTTTAGTATCTCATTTAATTAAGCAATTAAATTGATTCAATTTAATTCCATCTAGTTCAAATAAAATTCAATTCAATTTAATTCCATCTAATTCAAATAAAGTTCAATTCAATTTAATTCAATTTAATTCAATTTAGAATAATTTGATTGAATTTAATTCAATTTAAAATAATTTGGTTTAATTCAATTCAATTTAATCAAAACAAATGAATTAAATGGTTTCTCACCCGCATCTGTCGAAGTGGCGAGCTGGGCACTTCCCTCAACTCCCCTGGAGTTCAGAAATTCCGAAACTTGAATTCTTTTTTCGAAAGTGGTTTTATTTCTGGAAGCAATGAGTTGTTTGTGCGTAGAGACAGTGGAATGGAGGTCGTTTTCTGCATGCGGAGATGATTTTAAGAGAACTTCGAAAAATTCAACTTTCTGCCTCACTCAGCGAGTGGTAAGCTGCTGCTTCACTTGAAACGGAAGCCAGCAGTCCCTTTTGCGTTTCTTCTTGAAGTTTTAAGTTTTCAAGATCTTGAGAATGTTTTTGCTGCAGCGTTTTCAGCTCCTGCTGCTTTTCGCAGACGGCTTTCTCGTGCTGCGGGCCGCGCGCGAAGCAAAACGCATGCAAGTTGCATGCAAGTTGTTTTCGTTTCAGTTTAATTTACTTTTTCGCAACTTTCCTCCAACAATTTAACCACCGAAACGTGGGTTTCCAGCTCGAACTCCAGCATGCGGTTCTGCGCCTCGATCGCGCCGAGTCTGAACGCGGAATTCGGAAAGCGAAAAAAACGAAAATTCTTTCATCTCACCGCTGCAAAAGCGCGCGATAATACTGAATTTGCAATCCGCTGTCTTCCATTTTCTGTATTTCAATTAATTCAACCAAAAAGCCGATCTTTCCCGCCAAGTTTCGCCTGTTTTCGTGCCGAAACGCGAAACTTGCAAACCGACGCCGGGCACGCGCGGCGGTGTACGTACACCTCAACGAGCACGCGCGCGCGCTCGGAACTCCGCCGCTGCAGAACCTTCTCAAAAGTGAAAAGCTTTGGATAATATAGCTTTTAATTCAAATTAATTGTTTTTAGATTGTATTTTTTTCTTTTTAGCCCGCAGATTTGCAAGAAAAACGCAAAGTTCAGACGCAGCGGCTCTGATTCGGGACTTGTTTCTTTTCTGATCCTACAGCAGCAAGTGGCGCACTTATTGAATGGAGTTGCAGCCGCTGAGTTGGGTTTAATTTGAAAGATTTCAACTAAATGGAGTTTCTTTTAAATTGAAGTTAGCGGCAGCTGCGCAGAAGCCGCAGATCTGCTGCTTTGCGGAGGAACAGAAAGCCCTGAGTTTAGAAGAGCTGCTGCATTTGAATTACTTCGAATTGGAGTTTTTAATGAACTTTCTACTTTAAGAAATCTCAAGCTGCTGTTTTCTTCAGGAGGACACGGAAAGCGGCGCAGGGGCTGGCTTTGAGGATATTAAGGAAATTAATTTGGAGACAAAACTGGAATTGAAATTCGGAAAAGGATTTGCTGCTGCGTTTGGGCCCAGACACTGGAGAAACGCGCGCCGGAGGGCGCAGCTGCAGCTGCTGCTGCTGCTGCTCGTGCTGCTGCGGGTGTCTGCAGCAGCAGCGCCAGTTGCTGCCTCGCAGGTGAGTTTAATTTGCACTGCAAAAGAATTAAACTATTTCTAAAAAGAATTAAAGCGCTGCAGCTAACCGCAGCTGGCAGACGGCGTTTGCAGGCCAGGGCGTCTGCGGCGGCGAGGCGCGTGGGCAGTCCGGAGTCGCCGGGTGTCTGGGCTTTTCAGAAGCAGCTGCAGCTTCCTAACTCGAGTTTTATTATTTATAAATTGCAAAATATAAAGATTTCGTGGAAGAAGCCGCGGAAAGTGGAGCGCGCGGGCGCGCGAGCGGAGCCAGCACAGTGCGGTGTACGTACACCTCAGGGCTCCGCCGCCGACGGACCACCGGCGGCGCCGCCGCCGCAGAGCCGGCCGCGGAAAGCGCGGCGAAAGCAGCTTCAAATGGAACATTCGAGTTGCACTAAAGTTTGTTTTGGATTGTTTGTTCGTTAGTTGTCTTCGCGGGCGGCGAGCTGGGCGTTAGAGCGCGGAAGGCCGCCGGTCCACCGCCGCAGGGCCTCTGTGCAGTGTGCGCAGCGGGCGTTTCCGGCTGATCCGCGGACTCCAATCGCAGCTGGACTTCCAAGTCCGCACTTTTGTCTTTTGTCTTTGTTATTATGTTCGCTTTTGGCGGCTGGCATCGCAGAGCACCTTGCAATCGCAGCCGCCGCGCCGCGCCTAGCCCGCGCTCCACCGGGCCGAAAGCGCCGCGATCTTGTCCTCTTTTGCAGCTTTTCGAGATTTATTTTCGCCAAAATGGAGTTTCCTTCCTTCGAATCGCTTTATTCGCAGCTGACTAACTGGCTGCTCACCGCGGCAGTACTCTTGGCCCTCGAAATCGTAAGCCGCAGCACCAGCAGCACCAGCAGCACCAGCAGCAGCAGCAGCGGCGGCGGCGCTGCGCTGCTGCTGCTGCCCCACCTCGCCTGCTGCCGCCCATGCGCTGCTGCTGCTCTTCCGCCGCTTTGCTGCTGCGCTGCAGGCAGCTTTTTCTCTCTACCGCCGCCTCCGCCGCTGCGCCCCCCAGGCCCCGCTGCTGCTGCCCTCGCCGCCGCAGCGCCACAACCCCTCGCCCCTGATAGAGCGCTGGGAGGCCCCGCAGCACAGCAGCAGCAGCAGCAGCAGCAGCAGCAGCAGGAAGCGCCGCAACAACGGCGAGCTGCTGCAGGCCTTTCAGCTCCACGAAGACCCCCTCCCCAGCGCCAGCTGCTGCACCGCCCCCTGCTGCAGCGCGCAGTTCGAGGACTTCGGCGCAGCAGCGCAGCAGCAGCGGCAGCAGCTGCAGCACGAAGGCACGCAGAGCCTGCATGCATCTTTTGCGCATTTCTCTTTTCCAGAAAAAAGAAATGACAAAAAACAAAACCAAACTTCGCAGCAGCTTCGAGACACTCCAGACCCCAGAGTCTATACACTCCAGGATATGATGCGCTCCCTCGCCTGCTTCGTCAGCTCCTGCTGCTGCTGCTGCTGCTGCTGCTGCTGCTGCTGCTGCTGCTGCTATTGCTGTGGTTCTAGGTGTTTCTTTTGCCGGGGCAGCGTCGCCTGCGGCTGCTTGGGCTCGTGCTTGCCCTGCTGCTGTGTTCCTGCCGTCGATCTTGCTGCTGCTGCTGCTGCTGCTGCTGCTGCATTTGCAATCAGGTCTTTTGTCTTGCGTTTGTTTTCAGAAGTGTCAGCAGCAGCAGCAGACTTCTGCTGCTTCTGTTCTCCGCTTTGTGCGGCACTGCACGGGCCCTGAAGACTATGAGCGCCACAGCGCAGCACAACTTGCTGCTGCAGCGCCTGCTGCTGCTGCAGCTTGCAGCAGCAGCAGCAGCAGAGAGGTTCTCAGCGCTCTGGAGTCCCAAAGCCAGCAGCAGCTGCTGCACGCAGCTGGGGTTGGAGACAGCAGAAGCGACTGCAGCAGCAGCAACAACAGCAGCAGCAGCAGCAGGACTGAAGAGCTGGAAGATCTGCGCGAGAAAGATATGCTGCAGCAGCTGCATCACCTGGAGGAAGAGCGCGAGCAGCAGCAGCAACAGCAACAGCAGCATCCGCAGCAGCAGCATGAGATAAGTGGCAACCAGCTGCAGTACCTGGCAAATGTTGAAGCCATTCCTCTGCTGCAAAGGTTCGAACCCCTTTTGCTGCTGCTGCTGCTGCTGCTGCACCTGCTGCTGCTGCTGCTCTTATTGCACCTCCTGCTGCATCTGCACCTGTTGCTTCACGTGCTGCTGCTGCTGCTGCTGCTGCCTTTTCCCACTGCAGTTACTCCCGGAGTTAAAGTTCAGGGTTTAGAGTTTAGGGTTTAGGGTTTAGGGTTTAGGGTTTGCATGCAGGGCCCAGAAGCTGCGGCAGCTGGAGGTTGCTGTTACTGTTTATGAAAACTTCAAAAGAAGAAATGCAAAAATGAGACAAGACGTTTGTTTGCTGCTCGTGCAGTGCGCTCTCGCGTAAGCGCTGCTGCTGCTGCCGCTGCTGCTGCTGCTGCTGCAGTTCTTGCTGCTGCTGCTGCTGCTGGAGTTCTCGGTGCTACTGCTGCTGCTGCAGCTACTGGCTGATGGTTTTGCTGCTTCTGTCGGCGGATTCGTGGCTGCTGCTGCTGCTGCTGCTGCCACGTTCACAAGTAGCGCTGCTCGTTGCTGCTGCTGCGCTTGCCGTTGCTGACGCACCTGCTTCACCTCCTGCTGCACTTGCTGCTGCTGCTGCTGCTGCTGCTGCTGCTGCTTAGGTCTGGGGACTACGCACGCGGCATTGACTGGCTGCTGGAGTTTCTTGAAGATGAAGTGCCTCTGCAGGGAGTTTGGCTGGAGAGGGTTTTAGCAGCAACTTATGTGGGGGCCCCACACTTGCTGCTGCAGCTGCTGCAGCAGCTGCAGAGTTTGCTGCTGCGAGGCAAGCTCAGCGCTGACTGCAGCAGCACTGTGCGAAAAGCAGACAGCTACTTGACGCTTGCTGCTGCTGCTGCTGCTGCTCCTAACAGCCCGAATGCGCCGCCCGTGAGTCCGCTGCACCAGCAGCAGCAGCAGCAGCAGCAAAGGGCCCGGAGGCAACAGGTGCTGCAGCAGCTGCAGCAGCTGCAGCAACAGCAGCTGCAGCAGCTGCAGCAGCACACGCTGTGGACAGGCCGCGGCAGCGCCACCGCAGCAGCACCAAGAGGCAGCGCCACCGCAGCAGCACCAAGAGAAGAGCAAGAGGAGATGCTGCAAGAAGCTGAAATAGCAGCAGCAGCAGCAGCAGCAGAAGAGGAATCTGCTGCGCAGCAATCGGATGAAGAGCAGTTGAGTCCTGCAGCTGCTGCGATTGCTGCTGCTGCAGCAGCAGAACGCGAAGAGGCAGCCGCTGTATGTGAAGCAGCAGCAGGTGAACCAGATATGTCGGGTGCAGCAGCAGCAGCTGCTGCTGCCCCGACTGCAACAGCAGCAACAGCAACAGCAGCAGCGGCAGAAGCACCTAGCACTGCTGCTAGTGCTGCACCAGCCACGCCAGCAGCAGCAGCAGCAGCAGCAGCAGATAGCACTAGAAAAGGTCTCAATCCGAACGCTCCTGAATTCGTGCCTGTCTTTTCTGTCCCCTTGCTGCAGCAGCAGCAATTGAAAAGGCCGCAGCAGCAGCAGCAGCAACAACCGCAACGGCCGCAGAAGCAGCAGCAGCAGCAGCAGCAGCAGCAGCAGCTTGGACGCACCCTCCCCCTGGCTTCTCGAAGCGTTTCGAGACAGCCGGCAGGAGGCGTAGCAACAACAGCAGCAGCAGCAGCAGCGGCAGCAGCAGCAGGAGCAGAGAGAGCAGAAGCAGAAGCGACGGCGCTGCAGCAGCAGCAACAACTGGATGCAGATACAACAGCAGCAGCAGCAACAGCAGCAACAGCAACAAACGGCAGTAATGAACGCAGACCCCACAAGCAAATGCTGAAGCAAGTGCAGCAGCAGCTGCAGAAGTTTGTGCAGAAAAATGCCAAGGCCCCGCGTGCCAGCAGCAGCAGCAGCTGCTGCTCCCCGCAGCAGCAGCAGCAGCTGCTGCAGCTGCAGCAGGATAGGGGCCAGGAGCTGCTGCAGCAGCAGCAGAACTCAGCAAATCTGCAGCAGCAGGAAATGGGATTCTGTCATCTGCAACAGCAGCCCCAGCAGGTAAGCCACTACGAGCTGCTGCAGCAGCAGCAGCAGTACTACTGGCAGCAGCAGCAACAGCAGCAGCAGCAACTGCAGCAGCAGCAGCTGCAGCAGCAGCAGCAAAAAGGCACCTTGTGGCGCCCACGCAACGACATTTCGGAGCACTGGAGGCCTCGTGTGTGTCGGCAGCAGCAGCTGCAGGCACTGGAGAGGCAGCAGCAGCAGCAGAAGCAAAAGCAGCAGCAACAGCAGCAGCAGCAGCAGAAGTACGACAGCGCTGCAGCAGCAAACAATTCAAGTCGCCTCAGACTTGCACAGGCTATTATCACGAGCCTTTCCGCCAGCAACAAGCAGCAGCAGCAGCAGCAGCAAGTGCAGCAGCAGCAGCAGCAGCAGTAGCAAGAATTGCAGCAGCAGCAGCAGCCACTCCGGCTGCAGCGCTCCTGGCGGCCCCTTTGGGAATCCTTAGAATATTTAGAGAACAAAGCAGCAGCAGCAGCAGCAGCAGCTGCTGCTGCTGCTGCAGAAATAGCAGCAGCTAATGGGGATGAGAGCCGGTTTTCAAACTCGAAGTAGCGGTCTCAATTTTTAATAATTATTTAATGGTGTAGACTTAGGGTTTAGGGTTTAGGGTTTAGAGTATCGTCTTTATATTGTGTCGAGGGTTTAAGGTTTAGGTTCTAGCTTTTATGGTTGCAGCAGCAGCAGTTGCAGCAGCAACAGCAATTGCAGCAGCAGCAGCAATATGGAAGTACATGAGCAGTAGAGCCACAGCTTACTATGTGCAGCAGCAGCAGCAGCAGCAGCAGCAGCAGCGACAAGTATCCCTCGTTCTCATCTGCCGCTGGTGCTGTTGTTGCTGCTTCTGTTGCTGCTGCTGCTGCTGCTGCTGCTGCACCTACAGCTGAAGCTTTAGCGTCGGTGCTGCTGCACTGCTGCAAGAATTGCCAGCAGTGCTGCTGCTGCTGCTGCTGCTGCTGCTGCTGCTGCTGCTGAGTATCTGCTGCAGCTCAACTGCTGCAACTTGGTGTTCGAGGATTTTCTCCATTAGGGAAGAGCGGCGCTTCAAAGCCGACAAGTACTTTTCGTAAAGAATCAACAACATCTGCAAACAAACGAGGGTTTAGGGTTTAGGGTTTAGGGTTTAGGAGTTGGAGAGGAGCGGCGGCGTTTCAAAGGGACTCGAGAGAGCGCGCCCGAGGGTTTAGGGCTTGCAATTCGCAACGCCAAACTTAGAGCTAGGGTTTAGGGTTTACTGAAAGGTAGGCTTTAGGGTTTACTGAAAGCTAGGGTTTAGGGTTTAGGGTTTAGGGTTTACCTCCCAAACCTTTTGCCTCGAAGGCGGCAAAGGGTTTGGAAAAGCTGCAAACCTCCTTTGCACTTCCTGCTTCAGTCTTTTGAAAGTTTCTTTCTGCGACTCTTCTTTGCCCTGCAAACCCTAAACCCTAAACCCTAAACCCTAAACCCTAACCCTAAACCCTAGGGCGCAGCCCGCGCCCGCTCGCTGCACCAGAGCTGCTGCTGTAAACCCTAGGCTGCTTCTCAGAGTGCTCCCCTCTCGCCCACTGTCTAGGCCCCAGGGTTTAGGGCCTAGGGTTTAGGGTTTAGGGTTTAGGGTTTAGGGTTTAGGGTTTGCCTTTGGCTTGTTGCTTTGTTCTGCAGCAAGTTCGAAATCAACTGCTGCTTTTGCTTCTTGAAATTCTTCCAACAGTTTTAAAACATCATCAGCTTCCGTGTACAGCGAGTCGTCGTCGGCGTCTTGCCCTGCCACCCAAACCCTAAACCCTAAACCCTAAACCCTAAACCCTAGACGCTAAACCCTAGGGGCTGGGTTCTGGGCCCCAAACCCTTGAAGCCTGGCTGCGGGCCGGCGGGGCTGCTGCCTCAAGTCCTCGTTTTGCGGCTGCTGAGAGGGTCCGTGCAGGGTTGGTTTAGGGTTTAGGGTTTAGGGTTTAGGGTTTAGGGTTTAGGGTTTAGGGTTTGGACCTTTGTAGAAAAGGTCAATGAGAAGGACTAAATCCTTTTTTGTTTCCACTCCA